TCATAACTACCAAGATGACTAATCTATAATCTATTATAAAAGCTGCTTAACCAATTAGTTTCTCCCAATCTGATTAGTGGGACAGTCGTCACATGACATAAGCCTTGAATCACGATTACACCAATAGAATAACTTGTATTGCACCAGAACTACTATGGTGTACACATTCTGATATCAACGAAAAGATCCTTCAGATATGGAAACCTAGCATTTCGCAAAACGTCAGTCAAAAGTCAGTCAACAAATAGAACCGGGCATGTGCATCATCAACATCCTCCCTAAAGAAGCCAGTGAATAAAAGCAATTAGAGGCATAGCAGAGGAGAAAAAATGCATGAACATATTGACACAAGTAAATATGAACATAAATGTTGATCTGTCAGCAAAAAAATCTCATCTAAATGTGTTTAACATGTGTTTAGAATTGTTATTGTAAAATTAAACCCCATAATGAAGAAACAAAAATAAATAAATAAAACAAAAAAATTGCTTCACCACCCTAATAAATGTTACCGATATACTTCTATACCCTTATGGGAGAAGACTTTCTGAAAAGTGGTTGGTTCTGTTCCACTAACAAACAATTCTGGACATAAAAGAAATATGTGCATCTTTATCACAATGTGGACATGAAGAGTCTTTCCAAAATGTAAAGAAGATATTCTTGAACAAAAGGGATATATGTATATATATATATATATGCATGTGTGTGTGTCTGTCCTAGCGATATTTTAAGGCCTAAACCAGACCTTTATATTGCTGAAGCTGGTAGGGACTCCGAAGTTGATTCCTAGACTTTGGCATTGATGTTAATCGATCGAAAGGGAACTTTTTGGTTGTTCTGTTCCTTTTCTTTTATCAATAAAACCATTAATTTCTTAGACAAAAGGCACCGTTTATGTATTTATTTATTCTAACTCTCCACGGTCTTCGCATGGAAATTTTTAAGACATCTATATTAGTTTTATGAGGACGTTCCAAATTTTGAACAGAAATTTAACTCTTCCAATGGTGAATTTAACTAGACACAGGATTATCAGTATGTACATTTGCCGGCATTTTCACCTTCCATGTGAGAAGTAAAAAATAAAAGTAACTGGTGCGCAACGTTGTTTACGGATGAAGTTGTTACGCTGAAAGATCCGATCGGAGTTGCATGGCTTGATGGCCACCGAGTTGCTCGCTGATAATAAAGGCACTAGGGTACGCAAAGCATGGGAAGAGTTCCAGGAAATTTTTTGGCATCAAAAGGCATTATTTCATTGTTTTCCGATACAATGGGAATTCCCAGTTCAAAGTTACAATACTTGATAATTAAAGTGGGAGAAGAAATTTATTACCCTAGAATAAATTAATCATGAGATGAGTGTTAAGACTTAAGAAGCAACTCTTCACTCTGAATCAAGACAAGAACAAAGAGATGATGACGACGATCGAAGACCATGATGATGGTGTTGAAATGAGTGAATGAGAATTAAGTTTCTCAAGAGTTGGAAAAATTAAAGTTAAGGCTAAGGGATTTTGTCCCACATGGGTGTTGGAAAGAGTTGGAACTCCCTTTATAAGTGAGAGCCCAAAATTGACTTGCAAGTTGACTTGTCAATACTATACCAGATCTCTCCCGCTCGGGTGCGCCCGCGCAGGGGGGTGCAAATGGAGGTTTGATTCGGGGTCAAAATAACTTGACTCATGTGTGCGCACGACGTACAGACACGAATGCCGAACCGAACTCTAGCGGGCCTGATCAACCCACGTTTTGATACGGTTCAGATTAATTTTTTCCAGCTAAAATTTTAACATGGAGATTTATGTTCATTCATTTCAGTCAAAGAGAAAACTGAAACGTTACAATTGAATATTGCTGTTGAATGATCAAATGAATGGCGGATTTAATACTATTTAAATGGCAGAATGAATTCTTTTGACTGTTTGATTGTCAAAAACGTTTTGGCTGTTTATGTGCCATGAATTCGTGACATTTAACAGAATTAAAACACCAAAACCGTTTGAAATTTTGCTGTCATTTCAAAGATTTCTCCAGCCTATAAATAGACACTCATTTTCTAAAGTTCTACACACCAATCCTTCCTCCTCTTTCAGTATTCTTTCTTTCGAGCCTTTCTTTCTTTCTCTTTTTGTTTTGGTGTTCATCATCGTGTTCTATGTTTCGTTCGCTGGTAGAAGTTCTTTGTGCTAAGTAGTCTCTCCGTTTCCGTTGTATCCCGGGAAACAGTTGCTCGAGATCCTCAAGCACCATAGAAGGGGGCAAATCTGTTTTAAGGCGATCGTGTTTTCACGAGTTTCAGATTTCTTTTTCTTTTGTTTTTTCTTAACCTTTGCGAATACTACCCATCTTTTGACCAACAGATGGTTCCATAAAAATGTTCGAATGGAGTGTGAAAGGAATTAAAAGGTGAGAAAAAGCAAAGGACAATAATGGAAGGAACAAAAAACATTAGGTAAATGTTAATGTGAATGGGTTTTTGCAATTAGGATGTATTTTCAAACTTTACTAATGATATAAACTTTAATTTACTAAAAATTTTTGAAATTAGGATGTATTTTCAAAGTTTTAATTATTAAACTTTACTAAAAGTCCATTGAAATTAAACTAGATGCACATAGGTCCTTATTTGACTCTCCAACATCCATGGCAAAAATCTTTGAAGACAACTTCGCATTGCTTTTACTTCAAGGAAGAAAAAAATGCCAGAATATTTACGGATTTATAAGCCTAGGTCATGAAATCACTTTGAAATCACTTGGAATCAAAATTATTTTCCTTCTGGTTTTGCGTTTCTTAAAAGTTGACCGAAACCAAACAACAACACTAAGCATATTAAAATAATAACATGAAAGTCTGATCAAAGATAAAGTATACGTAGTATTTTGTAGTCAAACCCAGGATAATAAATGTGCTGAGGGCAATTGAATATTAACAAAACCGAAGTTCCGAACCCTGGATTGACTACCTAAATGGAACTGAACCACAAAAAAAAAAAAACTCTGGAACAAATTTTCTTTAAAGAAAATGTGAATCCCCGTCAAAGCCAAAAACAATTTGTCTTTAACAAATCCAATTTATTTAAGAAATATGATAATTTTTTTTTGGGGGGCATGAAGATAAAAGAAACTGAGCAACTTTATCAATTGATAATCAACATTGAGGTAGCCTAATTCCTAGAATCCATCAATGACAAGCAAAACGGCCCAAAGTAGTTAATTGATCAAAATTAACAAAGAACTTTAGAAAACAAAATTGATTCCCGAACCTGAAACCGAAACAAATCAAAATTGTTTTCCTAAAATAAGAAGCCGAAAAAAACCAATCTGATTGTTTAAATCGTAAAACGAAAGCTAAATGAAAGCAAACTTGATACTTTGATTTTGGTATTCGAAAAACAGTTATATTTCTTCAGTAAACCCAAACCTGTATTTAATTTATATGATTATTAGTTTTCAGAACACATGCCGAAAAAGAACAGAAATTGCTCAATCATCTTAATAGAAAAAGCCAATCACTACAGAGCTGAAACAACATCTTGAACGATATTACAACAAAAACTGAAGCAATGATTAGACCATAACTTTACCGTATTCGAAATGGACAAACTAAGCTAATAATTAGCAAAACTAAAATTGATTGCGAAAAAAAAAACCGCAAACAAAATTGTTAAGACCTCAAAGGCCTAAACGAATTTCGACAAACCGAATGGATCAATTTTGGCTTTGTAAACGATAGTCTAAAAATTTGACTAATTAATCTGAATTTTCAATAATTGATATGAAGGGAACTCTGATACTACTTGTTGGAAGAAATTCATATACTGTACAGATCGTCATATCAAATTATCGATAACTAAATGAAAACGGAAGCTTACCTTAATCTGAAGTGGTAAGAACATTGATTCGATTTGGTCTTACAGATAATTTTGTCAAACCCTTGTGGGATTTTTTGACAAATGAGGAGTCGAGATTTGGCATCAGCTCATCCGGACCACATCCAATATATAATAGGGTTTCCGGTTCCATCCATCACAGAATAGGAAACTAGGCCTTAAGTTTCCTACACGACACTAGGGCACACCTTAACTTAATTATTATTAGTCAAAACTTTAGTTGACTTAATTAGATCACTTTATGTGGGTTAGTATTTTATAATAACCAGTAATATTCAATCGTATATCTAATGTATAAGTTCACATAGATCTTACACCTGGATCAATTATTTCATCAACAGCAGTGATGCCTTAAACTTCAACAATATTAAGGGTTTGAAAGATTTTCGGGATGGAAGACAGAGAATCAGGGACAATATCTTCATGGGTATTTGGCAATGAAGAAACGACATCACGGTCTTCGTATAGAAATATTCAAGACAATTTTTCCCCTTCAACATGTAAAATTTGACTTTTTCTCTTGTTTTTCATTTTATATTCTCATGTAAAAGAGATGGATAAACACCGCACAAACCACAGAAGTAGAACGAAATCGGAAAAAAAATAACCCTGTGAAAATATTAAAATGTTAAAACCATAAGCTCTTCATTGAGTGGGTGCCAATATCTTCCAAAATTACCGAGAATATTGCGGAAACTTCCTTGACTGTTGATGGTATAGTTTATGCTGTGGATCCGGGTTTTTCGAAGCAGAAACTTTACAACCCTCGAGTTTGGGTGGAATCTCTGTTGGTTTCTCCGATATCGAAAGCCAGGGCTCAACAGCGCGCCGGGCGCGCTGGAAGAACACAGCCTGGTAAATGCTACAGGCTTTATACCGAAAAGAGTTTTAACACAGGCCTAGAGGCGCAAACTCACCTGGAAATTCAGCGCTCGAATTTGGCGAACACGGTTCTTATCTTGAAGAAACTCGGTATAGATGACTTGGTTCATTTCGATTTTATGACCCTCCAGCTCCAGAGACTTTAATGAGAGGCTTGGAGGTGTTAAATTACTTGGGTGCAACTGACAATGAAGGAAACCTCACAAAGTTAAGTCAAATCATGAGTGAATTCCCCTTAGACCCGCAGATGTCGAAAATGCTCGTTGTGGGCCCGGAATTCAACTGCTCGAACGAAATTCTATCGATATCTGCCATGCTTTCGGTCCCAAATTGCTTTGTTCGGCTTAAAGGGGAAGCGCAAAAAGCCGCAGACGAAGCAAAGAGTCGTTTTAGTCACATTGAAGGCGATCATCCCACGCTGTTAAACGTATACCATGCGTACAAGCAGAACAATGACAGTCCACAATCGCTAAAACAAGCTGGCAATGCGCGACAACAGCTGTCGCAGATCATGGCCCGGTTCGACCTCAAGTTATGCAGTTCGGATTTCAAGAGCCGCGACTACTATGTGATTTTTCGAAAGGCGATATTGGCCGGGTATTTCATGCAGGTTGCTCATTTGGAGCGTAATGGACAGTATTTGACCGTGAAAGATAATCAAGTTGTGCAATTGCATCCTTCGAAATCCCTTGATCATAAACCGGAATGGGTGGTTTACGATGAATATGTATTGACAAGCCGGAATTTTATCCGGACAGTTACCGATGTTCGTTGAGAATGGCTGGTTGAGATAGCGCCTCATTATTACAATTTGGCGAATTTCCCGATTTGTGAGGCCAAACGTGTTCTCGAGAGATTGTATAAAAAATGGAGTCTTTATCCCGGGGTACCATACCTCCCCTCATATTTTTTACAGTACTAATCCTTACTACACTTTTTTTCACTTTTCTAAATAACATCCAATAATATTAAGGTTTAGTCCCTTTGATTTTTTTTCTCTCTCCTTTAAAAAAATATCTGTAATCTTTAAACGACTATATCTCATGATCCGTAGAAAATTAGAGAACGTGTTACACATAAATGTTATTGTACTCGTCGAGATCTATCCAACAAGATCCATGTCGAATATTTTTTTCGAATTTAAAAATGACTAAATTTCGATACGCAGAATAAGATAAATATCTAGTTTAGAAATATGGATAACCAGTTTAATTTAGATTAAGATTCTTGTATTGCATATATCTCTTGATCCGTAAAGAATAAGAATACGAATTACACATGAAATTTATAGTGGTCGACGAAATCTATCCGATAAGGTCCATGTTGAATATTTTTGTTTAACTTTATATCCATTTAAATTTTACGGGCAGAAATGAAGACATATGTTTTTCGTTTTTCTCTTAAAAATGGTTATCCATTACATTCCTACTGATTATCCAACTGGTTTGGACTGATTATCCATTCGGTTTGTACTTATTATCCAATCATATTTTTGACATTCACTCTTCAAAAAAAAAGAAAGAAAGAAAAAATGATTGGATAAGCATTGCAATCAATTTGGATAATCAATTGAAAATAATTGGATAATCAGTGCAACACGTTGGATAATTAGTACAAAAAAAATTAACAATCATTTTCATAAAAGAGCAAGGAAAAAAAATACTGGATAACCACCACAAAGAAGTTGGATAATCAATATGAATACATTAGATATCCAGTTTAAGAAGATGGATAACCAACTTATTTTACATTCATATTGTTATGTTCCTTATATCTTTTGATCCGTAAACAATTATAATACGAATTATATATAAAATTTATAGTGCATACAAACTCGTTGGATTACAATTACAAAACAAGTTGGATAAGCATATAAACCAAATGGATGGATATCCAGTACAAGCGAGTTGGATATCCAGTACAAACGAAATGGATATCCAGTACAAACAAGTGCGATATCCATTACAAACAAGTTTGAAGGCACACAAACCAAATGGGTGGATATCCAGTACAAACAAGTTGGATAACCAGTTCAAACCGGTTGGATAATCAGCATAAACACAATGGATAACCAATTTAAAATAAATTGGGTTATCCATCTTTCTAAACTAGATATCCATCTTATTCTGTCTATTGAAATTTAGTTATTTTTAAACTCGAAAAAATATTCGACATGGATCTTGTTGGATAGATCTCGACGAATACAATAAAATTCATGTGTGACACGTTTTATAATTCTTCACGGATTGAGAGATATGATCGTTTGAATATTAGAGATGTTTTTTTAGAAGAGAGAAAAAAAGTATCAGGGACTAAACTTACAAATAATAGGAAAATTATTAGAAAAAGTAAAAAAAGTACAATAAGAATTAGTAGTATATAAAATAGGTAGGGGAGTATGGTGCCCCTGGTGCAGACAATAAATTGCCAAAAAACGGGAGAAAGAGAAGGAAGAATGCAAAAGCAGCCGGAAGTAAAAGTACATTTTTTTGGGACTTTTTTTTTTTGGTTACAAGGAGAGAGGCTAAACGCCTAATTTTATTCTAATACATTTGTAAGATAAGCTACCACAATTAAATCATGTTCTAGCTATGGTTTAATTTGAGTTCCCAGATTTCATGTTTTAGTTGTAAACATCGTGTATTTCGATGGCTTGGGTCTCAAAGCTTTACTGTAAATCAATTCCTATCATCGTTAGTGTTTTATTTTCATTTAAACTAGAGGGATCATCGCTCTTAATGTATGAATGTTTTTTTTTTCCGATAATCATCACGGTTTTCGCACGGCCTTGTATTTGGCCAAAGTTTTAGTGGAAAACGGTCTTCTAACCGTTTTACACTTTTCCTCATCACCATCCCATATTTCAATTTTCTCCTCTGTCGCCACCTCCACTGCGGCTTTTGCTTTTGCTTTATTAGTCTAGCGGTTTTTCAATCTTGTATTCTCTTGGGACAGAATTTTTTCTTAAAAAAAAAAAAAAATAGACTTCCTTGTTTAGATGTGCTCTGATCACAATTTGTTTATTAATTTGACTTTGTTCTCAATTCTCAATCTTTTCATATCTAACTATTTCAGGATTCAAATTTCAGCAAAATAGATTATATGAATAGTGATGTATATGTATTTTGTTTTAGGGAAAAAAAACATAGGTTAAGAAAAGCATGGTCATTGCCCAGTGAAATATTAATATAGTCAAGAAGGTTCTCGGAGAAGATCATTTCTTAATTTTTTTTTTTAAAAAAGAAAAACCTCCTAATGGGAGAAGGCTTTCTGAAAAGTCGAGAAACATTTATTGACATGAAGAAATATGTTTACCTTTATGATAATGCGGTCAAGTGGGAGGATTAAGAGCAATTCCAAAAACGCAAAGAAGTTATTCTTGGACAAATTAAAGTAATACATATATCCTCGTGATATTTCATTGCCTGATCGAGACATTTAAGTTGACGAAGTTGGTAGTGATTCCAAAGTTGATTCATAGGCTTTGGCATTGAGGCAATTGATCGAAAGAATTTGTTTTGGTTGTTTTGTTCCTTCTCTATTATCAGTAAAGCCATTAATTTCTTAAACAATACACTTGTGAACTGTAAACTAGTGTAACGTACTATTTCCCCCGATTCTTAGAAAAAAAGCAAAATGTAATTCTCTCTCTCTCTCTCTCTCTCTCTCTCTCTCTCTCTCTCTCTCTCTCTCTCTCTCTCTCTCTCTCTCTCTCTCTCTCTCTCTCTCTCTAAATATCCACAATCTTCAGGTCTTCGCATGGATTTGTTTCGATTTTTGGAAGCCCGCAAAAATATATAACCTATGGGATTTAAATAATTCAAATAATGATGAATTTAACTACACTGATTTATCGATATGAAAATTAATTTGCCGGGATTTTTTCATCCATGCACGAAAGTAAAAATAACTGTTGCTCAAAGTTACATGCAAGAACATTATCCGTTGTGATGAACTCTATGATTCCTTTCCCATGTTAGTTGCCACTGTTTATCACATTATTATCTACATATGACATTAATAAACCCTTATACATATAGTATTCCAAAAACTATTGGCTTTAATTACTTTTGTGTTTATTAATGCGTGTAGGCCTCGTTGATGATGACTTAACAAATAATCAATTCATGTAGTTGATATTGCAGGATCTAGAACTATTGAAAATCTCACATCAATGTTGGGAGGAACTGAATATCATCGTGTTTGGACTACTCTCCTCATTGTTAATTGATTTTAAGGTGGAATCTTATGAGGTTCCTTCAATTATCTAAACCCAAATATGAACCGATTCAATCGAGATGAGAAGCAGTTGCCTTTCAATTATCTAAACCTGGATGTCAACAGATTCAATCGAGATGAGAAGGAGTTGCCTTTGCCTGTTGCATTGAAACGATGGAAAAAAGGTTAATGTTTGTGCAATGATTAACTGATAAAGAAATTAATACAGTACCCTATTGACGGAAAAATTGACCCAAATGAAATAGTTCAACAAATATAATTGTTATTTCGGAAACTTAAAAAAAATTTAAGAAAATACTTAGGAAATTTCAACATTTAAAAATCTAGTTCAATTGTAAGTAAATATTTTTATATTTTTTTTCTTAACATTATGGGTTACTAAATAATGAGTTCAGTTTCATGCATACACTTATGGATTGTTACTTCTTGACAAATAATCTACTCCCTATTTGTGCATTAAGTAAACTAAGTACGATATAGGAACGCACTAGATCGTATTTTGTTGTATTTATTTAGTTTTACACTAGAACTATCTTGAAATTAGTTGAAAAATCTTTTCAAGATAGCTCTTAGTTTTAATAGTTTTTATAAAATAATGCCATAGAATTATAGAACATTTTTGTAAAGCAATTACTTAGTTGTAATTTGACTAGAACCGTCGTAGAATTTTTGGAAAATTCTTGTAAGACGGATCTATTTCTGTTGAGTAAGTGTAAAATGTTGCTGTTTATAATTTCTCTTTTTCAAAATCATAAAATTAGAATATTCCCGCCAAGTACCGCCATGGATTTTCCTAAAAAAAAAAAAAAGAGTTGAGTCGATACTTTTTATCCAATAATCTTCCCGTGCAGCCAGCGTGCGATAATGTCTCGGAAAAAATTCTCACGTGAGCAAAACACCATTTGACTTTTGTTTGCTTAGTAATGTAAAATCAATAAGTTGAGGAAGTTCATATATACATGCATAGTTGTTTGAATCTTATAAAAATTACCTGAAACTTAATGTAACCTCATATTGCATATACCATTGTATTAATGAGCACATTTTAAGATCTAATAATTCAATAGTACGTAAATAATTCATTATAGAAAAACAAATTAGTTAAGCAGTGATGTATAATTTCAAGGCCATTTGGAAGAGAAAAATCGAGGAGGATTCCTTAGACTAGATTACGTCATTGCTTTTACTGTTGATCTCTCGAAGTGAACGGTTCAAATGACTTAAAAAAGTCGATGCATGGTATAATGAAGGATGGTGGGTTGGTTTAGTCTGTGAAGTTACCATGAATGGGACATACATGCTTTATTTAAATAACATGAAAGAAGTACTTGAGTTTCAGCACTCTGATTTGAGGCCTCATCAAAATTGGCTTAATCAGCAATGGATTTGTAGTATGAAGGTATGAATATTTAAACTCTATACCAACAGGCTGCCACCTCGTTCTACCCCGACGAATTCTTCTGTTCTTTTTTTAATTATTGTTTTGTTTTTTTAAAAAATAAACTGATCTTCCTCGCTTTAAAATTTAATTATTGA